CCCAATGGAGTTCCTTAGGTATTCTGGTAGTATTTCATTCACTAATTCACTTGTAGCACTGGTCGAGGATAAGAATGCCGGCAATGCTAACTGTGTCGCCTTGCGAATACCTATACCCCCGAGTCTAACTGGGAGCGTTGCTTGGTCCCACTGGTCATCTTGCAGGGAGAGGTTTAACACTTTCATAGTTATTGACTTTAGGAGTGAGTCGTATTCCGTTAATTTTGGGCTGTCAAAGGAAGGAGCACACCTGAGGAAATAGGTAAGTCTGGGCAAAGCCAGGCACCTTGTAAGAAGGTACAAAGCATCGTGAGCATCCAAAGCCCCTATTCTTTCCTCCATCCTCCTCAGGTCTTTCAGCTTTTCTTCGAGGACTACCTCAATGGCGTTCGAGCCCAGAGGTGCCCCTAGCAGCACACTGTTGGTGGGAGCGATCACTGGGGCTCCTGGCAATAAGATTCGTACTGCATCTATGATTGGTTGGCTGGATGAGATGATTTCACACTTTGATGGGTTTAGTGTAAGGCCTAGCTCCTCTCCCTTCGATTTCACTAGCTGAAGATCTCCTAGCAGGGATTCCTGTGTCCCTGCCAGGGTGCCATCGTCCAGGAACCAGATGTTGAATTCGCTGGACAACCTGCTTGTGACCTCTTTAGCTGCCATGCAGAAAAGGAAAGGGGCAAGTGGGTCTCCCTGCTGGACACCTTCTGCGGAAACAACTTCATGTTCCCCAAACAACAGTGTCGATTCCCTACTGTACCCTGCTGAAACGAAGGGAAGTAGACAAGGAAAGCTTGTTCGAACTGCTTCCAGTACCACATCCCTTTTTACCTGGTTGAAGGCATTTTTAAAGTCTAATTTAATTAATGCCTTATTTTCTGGGAGGTGCTTAATATAGGCTCGTGCTGCATGAGCTGCTGCTTCACAGCCATGGGGGACACCAAAACCTAGTTGATGGGGTCGAAGCATCGTTGCAGCGTCTATGCTAATTTTTCTGACAGCTGCCCTAGCAACAAGGCGCCGAAGTGTGTTACCCACGGCAATGGGTCTGACTCCACCATCCTTCTTCTTAAGGGCACAAAGGGATGCTCCGAAGAAGAAGGGTTTAATTGTATCTGGGATCAGCCCAGAGAGGCAGTCGTTGACAAACTTCGTGACCTCTGACAGTAGTGTCTCGGCAACTTCGCCGAGAACTGGGTTTGTCATCTCCTTGAGGTGCTGAGGTCTTACTCCAGTGTATCCCCCTGCTGAGCCTGGCGGAAATGACATGATGGCTTTGTATACCTCTGACGCTTGGAGGAATAGAGGTCCCATGTCTGGGGCATTTGTGTCCCGAGCAGTGGGTTCCCATGGTACTCTGGGAGGGTGCTTCTCTCTCAGTGAGTCGGCAGTTGCAGTATTTCTAGGGGCGATTGTTTCTTCACTGGTAAGTAACCTAATTGCCCCTACTGTGTTGCCCTCTTCAATTTTTTGGGTCACTTGTGTTCCAAGCTTAAAATTGTCATTGGAACTCTTCGGTCTGCCACGACGGTTTTTGCATTGAGGAGGGATTGGGATCAAGTTGTCGGTCTGGGTCCCCCTCTGGGTGCGCCTCTGGGTGCATTGTTCCCAGGACCGTGTTCTTGGCTGAGGGGTTCCTGGTTAGTTGGAGGAGTCCCCTCCGTCCCCCGGGCGGGCTGTGACATCGGCGTGGCGTAGGAGGGTGATCACGGGTGGTGGCGGCATGGGGAGTTGGCTGTCCCTCCCACTCACCACTCATGCGGTACGTGTGTCTCCCTCCCTTTTGGGAGGAACCTGAATGCTTGCTGTGACATGTGCCATATCTGGGTGCATGGAAGGTGACACATTTCTGCAACAGGCACTGTGTGGGCAGTGAATAGGTGGGTGGGAGACGCCCAGCCGCAGGGTGGGTGGGCTGGGATAGCAGGAGCTACAGCACAATATATATACATACATATAACTTTAGAACACTTTCCCACCAGGAGACTCGAACCCTAGCCAGCACAGAAGCCTTCCAGCAACTGGCATAACAGGTACGCCTTAACCCGCTCCACCACCCGCTCAGACCCTTAAAAGAGATGGTAATTTCGGAGTATTTAAATACCCCAAAGATCAACACCTCCCAAGAGCACCAGTGCAAGTGAGGGGTCATTTATACGTTAATTTCATCAAGTCCCTGTTAATATGGGAAGACACAGTGTCTCTGCTTAAGGCACAACTCTCCTAAACACGAGAGTTAAGTATACAACTTTAGAACACTTTCCCACCAGGAGACTCGAACCCTAGCCAGCACAGAAGCCTTCCAGCAACTGGCATAACAGGTACGCCTTAACCCGCTCCACCACCCGCTCAGACCCTTAAAAGAGATGGTAATTTCGGAGTATTTAAATACCCCAAAGATCAACACCTCCCAAGAGCACCAGAGCAAGTGAGGGGTCATTTATACGTTAATTTCATCAAGTCCCTGTTAATATGGGAAGACACAGTGTCTCTGCTTAAGGCACAACTCTCCTAAACACGAGAGTTAAGTATACAACTTTAGAACACTTTCCCACCAGGAGACTCGAACCCTAGCCAGCACAGAAGCCTTCCAGCAACTGGCATAACAGGTACGCCTTAACCCGCTCCACCACCCGCTCAGACCCTTAATCAGAAATTAACGTATAAATGACCCCTCACTTGCTCTGGTGCTCTTGGGAGGTGTTGATCTTTGGGGTATTTAAATACTCCGAAATTACCATCTCTTTTAAGGGTCTGAGCGGGTGGTGGAGCGGGTTAAGGCGTACCTGTTATGCCAGTTGCTGGAAGGCTTCTGTGCTGGCTAGGGTTCGAGTCTCCTGGTGGGAAAGTGTTCTAAAGTTGTATACTTAACTCTCGTGTTTAGGAGAGTTGTGCCTTAAGCAGAGACACTGTGTCTTCCCATATTAACAGGGACTTGATGAAATTAACGTATAAATGACCCCTCACTTGCTCTGGTGCTCTTGGGAGGTGTTGATCTTTGGGGTATTTAAATACTCCGAAATTACCATCTCTTTTAAGGGTCTGAGCGGGTGGTGGAGCGGGTTAAGGCGTACCTGTTATGCCAGTTGCTGGAAGGCTTCTGTGCTGGCTAGGGTTCGAGTCTCCTGGTGGGAAAGTGTTCTAAAGTTGTATACTTAACTCTCGTGTTTAGGAGAGTTGTGCCTTAAGCAGAGACACTGTGTCTTCCCATATTAACAGGGACTTGATGAAATTAACGTATAAATGACCCCTCACTTGCTCTGGTGCTCTTGGGAGGTGTTGATCTTTGGGGTATTTAAATACTCCGAAATTACCATCTCTTTTAAGGGTCTGAGCGGGTGGTGGAGCGGGTTAAGGCGTACCTGTTATGCCAGTTGCTGGAAGGCTTCTGTGCTGGCTAGGGTTCGAGTCTCCTGGTGGGAAAGTGTTCTAAAGTTGTATACTTAACTCTCGTGTTTAGGAGAGTTGTGCCTTAAGCAGAGACACTGTGTCTTCCCATATTAACAGGGACTTGATGAAATTAACGTATAAATGACCCCTCACTTGCTCTGGTGCTCTTGGGAGGTGTTGATCTTTGGGGTATTTAAATACTCCGAAATTACCATCTCTTTTAAGGGTCTGAGCGGGTGGTGGAGCGGGTTAAGGCGTACCTGTTATGCCAGTTGCTGGAAGGCTTCTGTGCTGGCTACGGTTCGAGTCTCCTGGTGGGAAAGTGTTCTAAAGTTGTATACTTAACTCTCGTGTTTAGGAGAGTTGTGCCTTAAGCAGAGACACTGTGTCTTCCCATATTAACAGGGACTTGATGAAATTAACGTATAAATGACCCCTCACTTGCTCTGGTGCTCTTGGGAGGTGTTGATCTTTGGGTTATTTAAATACTCCGAAATTACCATCTCTTTTAAGGGTCTTAGCGGGTGGTGGAGCGGGTTAAGGCGTACCTGTTATGCCAGTTGCTGGAAGGCTTCTGTGCTGGCTAGGGTTCGAGTCTCCTGGTGGGAAAGTGTTCTAAAGTTGTATACTTAACTCTCGTGTTTAGGAGAGTTGGGTCACATACATATATATATATATATATATATATATATATATATATATATATATATATATATATATATATATATATATATATATATATATATATATATATATATATATATATATATATATATATATATATATATATATATATATATATATATATATATATATATATATATATATATATATATATATGTACATATATATATATATATATATATATATATATATATATATATATATATATATATACATATATATATATATATATATATATATATATATATATATATATATATATATATGTCGTACCTAGTAGCCAGAACTCACTTCTCAGCCTACTATGCGAGGCCCGATTTGCCTAATAAGCCAAGTTTTACTGAATTAATATATTTTCTCTAATTTTTTCTTATGAAATGATAAAGCTACCCATTTCATTATGTATGAGGTCAATTTTTTTTTATTGGAGTTAAAATTAACGTAGATATATGACCGAACCTAACCAACCCTACCTAACCTAACCTAACCTATCTTTATAGGTTAGGTTAGGTTAGGTAGCCGAAAACGTTAGGTTAGGTTAGGTTAGGTAGGTTAGGTTGTCGAAAAAACATTAATTCATGAAAACTAGGCTTATTAGGCAAATCAGGCCTTGCATAGTAGGCTGAGAAGTGAGTTCTGGCTACTAGGTACGACATATATATATATATATATATATATATATATATATATATATGTATGTATATATATATATATATATATATATATATATATATTATATATATTTATATATATTTATGTATATATTTATATATATTTATATATATATATATATATATGGTTCCCAGGCGGGAATCGAACTCGGTACAAGAAGTCATTTCTTACCAAAACCAACAGCACACAATCCTAAACGTTCAACAAATCATTCATTGAATCTAACTTACTTATGGTGTTGTTTCTCCAGGGTACATGGTGGATGAGGCAGGGGGAGGCACAGGGCTGTACATGGGTCCCTACTTCCCCAGCCCTCAGCCCATGAACATCACTGTACACCTGGACACCGTCGCCTACCTTCCCTGCACTGTCAATCAGCTTGGAGACAAGTCGGTCAGTGCCACAACATCCATAAAAGTCTTTGTGGATGTGGATCTTTTTGGATCCACAATTTTTTTTTTTTTGTATTTTTTGAAACTCTAAATTGTGTTTCATACTTACGTTTTTTAATACTTTTTTCTTCCTAAACACCAAAGTTTGAGATATTAATAGTGCAGTTTTGTAATTTAATACTGACTCATAGTGTAAAAAAATACCATTACACGTTTCAAATAATTTTTACAATGTGTGTGTGTGTGTGTGTGTGCTAACTAGTCAATGTATTTATGGTCCTGAGTTTGGTCTCCGTCCTGCAGGTGTCTTGGGTGAGGCAGAGGGACGCGGACATCTTGACGGTGGACCGCTACACCTTCGTCAGGGACGAGCGGTTGACCGTACACTTCACCCCTGATACAGGCACCTGGACGCTGGTCATCAAGTACGTCCAGGAGCGCGACGCTGGCACCTATGAGTGCCAGATCTCCACCGAGCCAAAGATGTCAATGCTGGTCGATCTTAACGTCATTGGTGAGTCACGGTTACTTGTCCCTTCCAGCTGGTGCTTGCAATCATCCAGTTGGTGCTTGTGAGAGCCAGTTGGTGCTTGTGAGAGCAAGATGGACTAATATTCCTACAATTTGTGACTGGTATTGGTCGGTAAAACTGGAGCCTTCCGGTCCGGTGGTATTGGGTTCGAGGCTCCCGAGGGTGAAAGTGAATTGAATGTTATTCCATTATAAAATTATTCCATAATATTATTTATTGATAACAAAGTCTAAGGCAAGTGCTTGTGAGTATCCAAAGTGCAGAATGGAGTCCTTAACCCATAACTCAGCCCCGCAAGTACATCAACTAGTTTAAAGCTCACTTGACTCTTCCTCTTACTCACTGCTGCTCTGATAATCTCTTCAGTGTCGGATCCCACTTTGAAAAGTGATAATGAGGTCACATATCAGACGACCTCCTCTAATAGATCCGTCGTTCGCGATCGTTCTCAACACACTGAGATCCAGCGGCCCAATTGAAGCCAGACTTTGCGCATCTTAATTAGCTGTCACCGATTATATATGATAATTGGAGCGATGAGAGCGTCCTACGTGTCCTCCCCGGCTTCTCATTGGTCGAGGCCCTCACTCAACACATAAGAGAAAGGCTCTAAATTGCCTTTTTTCATTTTCACAACGTAGTTATGAGCTTCTCAAATAGCCTGGATGGTAGCAGCGTGTCGTCTGGACACCTTAACGGACTACAAGTGAAGACTCTTCTATAGAATACCTTGACAGATGCATTGAATCCATAATTTAATAGAAGCACATTCTTTGCAAGTAACGTACAGATCGTTGCAGCATGACAACAAGGAAAGTTATCTTGACAGAGAGGGTTTCACTAAACACTAGTGCCGTGTGTGTATATATATTTTTTGTATTTATATATTTACATGCAAAGCATGCGCATAAGTACAATAAAACAGACAGAAAAACAAAATGAAACAAACAATGCACAAAATCACTGGCCTGAGGGGCCTATAGCAAGACATAACACGTAGTACAGTCAGACTGTCGGACACACAATACACAATACACAGCAACATGACATAAGGGCACATAGCTGTTACGAACCCAAGTCTATCGTCAGCACGGAGCAGCGACATCAACGCTATCTGTGAGTCCGCTCCCGAAACCCCCACTAATTGGACGACGCCATCTAGTAGTGACAAGACTATACCAGCCAGAAATGCTAGATTCTTGTCCTGGTAGCTGGAGAGGTAGCCGGTGCTGACCTCTGGTGACGTGGTGCTTGGAAAATTAGCGCCATCTATTGAGCGAAAAAGTGTACGTTTATGTCAGGGTCCGTAAGTGGTGTTTCCTAGTGTCCGGAAGAGAACAGTGAAGTGTTCTACTGTCTGCCTGTGGAGTGGCAGTGATGGGATTCGCTGTACCCGGGGCTGTCTAATAGAAGAGACGACTGACTAAGGTGCTGAAGAGGAGAGTAACCAGTGAGTTGCACGAAGCTTCTGCCTAGGGCTCGCTACCCTAGTATTTGCACCTGAAGTGGCCCAGCAGCGCGAGGCTGGAGGTATCTGCCAGCACCAGGCTGGACTGTGATTGTGGGCCTTCACGAGGAAGCACTTTGTGAGATTGTGGTTTGGCTGGCCCGTGGCCAGGGTAGACTCATTGTTGTTTCCCGGTACCTGCTGAGGATTATACTACGGATGAGGAAACACGATAGCTTACAAGACTGGATCGCCAGCATCGAAGAGCGCTTAGTGTTCCATGAGACACTTTTGTACATATTAGGTGTACTAATACTTTTGTTATGATTATTTGCGAGGTGATGGAAAAAGTTATCATATGTAAATATATCAACATTTTATGAGGTGTATTCAATACAACCCCCTTTTTGTTTTACTTGCATTACCGAGCTCACACCTTGAAAGCCACTACTAACTTGGAGCCGGATACCACAACTTTAGTACGACCAGAAAAGAACCCGGTTGCGACCCATTGTGGGCGTAACATAATTGGCATCCCCAGTGGGATCCAACCTCTTGTCAAGTACGTTTGACAGGGGTGGTGACGTAGTACAATCCCTTGTGAATAATTCCCGTTTGTTATTTTAGAACGTTACATGTGCGGTGCTCAGTGTGATTAATTGTTGTACTGGCAAGTGCGGTGCTCGGTTATGATAAGTGCCTAGTGTCAAGTGAAGCGATGTGTTAAGTGCTCGTGCACCAACTAGGTGATAAAATGGCAGAGAGAGTGACCATTGAGGATCTAGACGATGTTCAAGAATTTCTGAACAAGGAGAACTGTCTTGCTAGATTGAAATATCTGGGAAAGCAAGAACTTGTGCTGGTGAGTGCCTATCTAGAGATCAAAATACGTGAGAGTGATTCTCGTGTTGAAATCTTATCGAAGGTTCATAAGCACTTAAAGGTCGGGGAGAAGCAGGAAAGCGAGGCACAGAGTGCAAAAGAAAGTGTGGTGGCTTCCACTGAACAGGAAGATAAAGGTAGTGACGGTGAAAGTGATGCTGGTGAACTGAATATAAGTTTTCTGTCAAAATGCGTGCTTTAGAAATAAATCGTGAGATAGAGGAAGAAATTAGAAATAGAACGGGAAATGAAAGAGATGGAAATGAAACAGTTGGAATTACAAGAAAGAAAAGAAGAAAGAGAAGAAAGAAGAGAAAGAGAAGAGCGAGATCCGGTGAGAAATATAAAGATGGTCCCAAAATTCAACGAAAAGGAAGTTTCGAAGTTCTTCGCTGCCTTCGAGAACGTTGCTGCCTCATTGGATTGGCCAAAGGAAAATTGGGCCATCATGATACAGTCCATCTTGACTGGAAAGGCCCAAATTGCCTACTCCACGTTGTCCCTTGATGACTCCAGTGATTACGGCAAGGTGGAGAAGGTAGTGCTCATATGGCTTATCAGTTGGTGCTTGAAGCTTATAGACAAAAGTTCAGGAACTTGAAGAAGACCCCGGAGCACACGTTCACAGAGTTTGTGAACATCAAGGAACGGCTTTTTCAGGAGTGGTGTGTGTGGTGTTGTGTGTTGCTGAGGAAGTCTTGGTTGTAGGGTTGATATAAAGCCATTGCTTGGTTACTGACTTCAATACTTAAGGTGATGCATGACTAGGAGCTTCCAAGCTGGTGGCGTCCTGTATGCTCTATTGTTTACCTCCTGCTGGCGTCTGAACCTCAGCACATACAAACGGATGGTACCGTTTTCTATGAACATAACATCCCTCCTTTTCTTTAAAAAGAATGAATACAGGATTCAAGGTAGTGCGATCCTCATAGGACGTCCAAATAAAAGTTCGCCAGGCGACTTGCCCAGTGTTCCATGCGGTGTTGCACGGTAGTTCCTGAGAAAAGCATACATAGCTTGTTTCCAGGATCGTCCTTCGGCATAAGGACAGCGCACCGCTTTCATGAGAGGTTGCATGAATCTCTCGACTTCTCCATTTGCTTGAGGATGTAGTGGCATCACACGGCGGTGTTTGAATCCATTATGCTCAGCAAAGTTGACGAAGTCCTGTCCATTGAATGGCGATCCATTGTCCGTCTTGACAACTTCAGGAATGCCAAAATTTGAAAATATCTTGTCGAGCTTCGGGATGACAGCCTTTGCAGGTGTGGAAGTGATGGTTTCTACTTCTGGATAACGTGATCATCAATGACTACCATTAAGTACTCTCTAGTTGGTAGCGGTCCGCAGAAGTTCATCAATACTTCCGTCCATGGTACAGCAGGTAGTGGTGAAGGTTGTAGAGGTGTTGGTCTTGAGGTATCCACTGCAGCTTGGCTGGGACACAGGCATCATGCATGTCCTTTGCTTGATGATCAATGCCAGGAAACCATACCTTTTCTCGTAGCAGCTGTTTGATCTTTACAAGATCTTGGTGTCCTTGATGTGCTAGCTTCAGAGCACGCTGCTGGAGAACAGCTGGAATGACGATATTAGTACCTAGCAGCACGGTGTCGCGTTGTTGCGCAACAGTTAATTCTGTCTGGATGCATTCAAGTGCTTTGAATGCATCTTGGTCAACTCCTGAGGGTGGGATGGGTGGAAACTTTTTCTTTGTCAATGCATCCACTGTTGCTTGCAGAGTTGGGTTCTCTAGGGTTGCAGTACGGATTTCATCATGAGTGAGAGCCTTAAGGACTGCATCACAGGTTACAGAATGTACATATTCCATGGCAACTTGCTGATGCTTGGTGATGATGAAACTGTTGGCAGGATGTCGACTGATGTAATCAGCGGGATTGCCTGCACCCGGCTTGTATTTCACCGTGAAGTTGTACGGTTGCAGACAAAGAGCCCATCTCTCAATGCGAGCTGGTGGTTTGGACTTTGGATTATTGAAGATGGTCTCCAACGGTTTGTGGTCAGTAATTATCGTGGTGAAGGGTGCACCACGCAGATACACATTGAAGTGTTCACAGCCCCATACAAGAGCAAGAGCTTCCTTCTCTGTTTGACTGTATCGTTGCTCAATATCTGTGAGAGAACGGCTGGCGTAGGCAATTACTACTCTGGAGTCTGGTTGACCAGGTTTGTGTTGGGCTAAACAGCACCTAAACCAACAGAACTAGCGTCCACCGTTAACTCAGTGTCCATTGATGGATCAAAGTACGCAGCAGTCGCATTCTCTACTAGTGCATCTTTCACAGCATCAAATGCATTTTGCTGGATATCACTCCAGTACCATGATGTATTTTGCTTCAGGAGCTCACGTAGAGGTTTCGTAATGGTAGCAAAATCTGGAATGAAGCGAGAACAGTAGTTTGTCATTCCCAGAAAACTATGTACTTCAGTGGATGTTGAAGGAAGTGCAGCATTTTTTATATCTGCAACTTTCTTAGGATCTGGAGACAAACCTTTGTCACTAAGTACATGTCCAAAGAATTAATTTTTATGTTGATTGAACTCACACTATGCTCGGCTTAGTGTCAGACTCTTTTCTCGTAAGCGTTGCAATGTTGCACGAAGAGCTTTGTCGTGTTCAGCTTGGGTACAG